AAATTGGCATGAACCAAAAAAACGGGGTCCCCACTCTTGGGAATTTTAAAGAGGGGGGACCCACACCCCCAGAATCCCCCCCGCAAGCAGGTTTGGGGGGGGAATTCTGGGAGTTGAAGTCCACCCGTCTTAAAGTTGCCAAGGTTGAGGAGCCCTGCTGAAGAAGAATCGAAAGAATTATGCCCATGATGGAACTGGTCTGTGAAGAAGCCTGTAAAAGGACTGCAAGTTGACTTTTACTTTCTAAACTTTTCTGAGCCTACGTTCAAGGTAGATTCTCTCATTCTTCTGCCCTTTAGAAAGATTATGCCAATAAAGTAAAGGATGTCTTGCTATCACATTTTATTCCACTTACTACCCCTCTCTCAATGTTTGTGCATTAGAAATATAGTTTTTAAAGAACAAAATGGAAGCTCTTTCTTTCTTGGCCCCTTCAAACAGGAATGCAATAGGTCAAAGCCTGTGCTATGTCAGTACCTAGGTTTAAACTATGCCTCTCCAAATGAGTCACAGGTGCTGGGCATCTGTGTTCTATGAACCTTAAGAAAAGCAACTAGATTTCTAGTGATGTAGTGAAGGTAGCACAAGGAAAATGCTGGATGATCTATTAAACGATGCCTTTGCACAGATCACCGGTAAAAGGACTGAACAAAGGGTGACCATTCCAAAGAAAAGTTTGATTGTAGCATCAAAACACGTCACCTTATTTTTTCCAGTTGGATCCATGCTTTAATGAAGGTATGCCACTGATTCCTTAGCTTGGAATATTATTTTAAGACTAAAAATAGGATGTGCAATTTCAAATCCAAAGAAAAGGGAATGTGTTCTTTTAAAGAACAATTCCAGCTCCGAAAAGGGGCGGTAAGAATATTTTTCCATCCAAGTTCACAGGTTGGGAAATGTATTTAATTTTTTTAATTGGCTACTCCTCACCCTACCCTGATCCATTCTCAACACACAGGCATGCACCCGCATCAAACCCAGCAGCAAGAAGCATGCACAATTACATCTCTTAGTGAGCTTTTCACTTTTTTTTTTTTACACCATTCTGAGTTCTTCATCTTATAGCAGGTCAAGTGGGATCTATTCACAGCATTGCAAAGGAGTACTCCAGTACCGAAAGAAGAGGGATTTTCTTTACTTTTCCTTAAAATATGTATTTTACTTGCTGCTCTCAGGGCTACAAACATGACTGACAAGGCTAAGTCTGGAACTAGATGAAAAGTGGCAGTGAAAGGGTTGGGGCAAAATACAATATCCCCAGCCCTCATCAAACCCAAGCCCAAACCCAAACCCAGGACACCATCTAGAAAAAGAAGAAAAGGGCTCCTAATTTTTTCTTTGGAAAAATCAATAAGTTAAGTGCACTCTGTACTCAAAAATGCAACCTTAAGTACGATTACTTGAAAGTGATTTCTATTCAAATCCATAGAGGGTTACTTTGAACTGTATTTAAGAAAAGAGTACGTGTAACAGGATAGAAGAAAAAGGCCCAGAAATAAATTTACCCGGTGTCACAAACATCAGTTTCAACCACAGACTCTTCCCCTCCAGCTCCAATGTCTTCATCAGTGGAGAACCGTAATTTATTTATAACATCCATTTTACCTATCAGAATCACTGAACCCTGAGGAATTTAGAGAGAAGAAAAATAGAGTTTGCCATCTGTCATGTTTGCCTTCCAAGGAGCCTGCCAAAGCAAACATATTTAGAATGATGAAAGGCCCAGGAGTATTGTTAGTAGCAGCCAAAATAAAAGGGGTTGCTATTGCTTAGCTTGCAAAGCATATTATGTAAAAAAACACAAAAACCCCAACCCCTTTCTTCAGCTGCCGTTATGTAAATCTTAGCAACGCAACCCTTCATTTCTTTTGCTAGTTATGTAAACCTTAACAAACAAGCACCATGAGGTTCATCTGAGTATCTTCAGATTGCTAAGTAATGGAATCGTGATATCCAATGCTAGTTTGGAATTCTGGATGTTGTAATGTTGACACATATGGAAGATACCAGGCTGCTGAAAGCTAACTTAATGCTTGGTTAATCTTTTACTTGCTCACAGATACTAATACATTATATCTTCTCTTTAGGTGACTTCCTAAGTATCACCTTGGTAAACGGATATATACAACTACGCTACAACCTTGGGGACAGAACAGTAATTTTACAGACATTTCAACCTGTACACAGCACAAATAAGACGTGGCTTTTAATTAAAGCAGGAAGAGTTGGTAATGAAGGCTACTTGGACCTCAATGGAATCAATATAACTCAAAAAGCTACCAATAGCATGACTTCCTTAGATACACAAACGGATTTCTATGTAGGAGGATTACCTTCCTTAAATTGGGTTAATCCCAGGGCAATTAAGAATGAGCCCACTGGCTTTACTGGCTGCATTCGAGAGATCCTTGTCAATAGCAAAGAATTAAAACTGACAGAAAAAGGAGCTAAAGGTGGTTCCAATGTAGGTGACTGTGATGGAACTCCCTGTGGATATAGAGTATGTAAAAATAAGGGGAAATGTAAAGTTGTAGAGTCTGGTTTTTCTTGCTTGTGTCCTAAGCAATGGATGGGGAAGACATGTGAGCAATCTACTTATTGTTCACATAACAAGTGTCTACATGGAAGTGTTTGTATACCTAACCCTGTTTTATTTTCATATACGTGTGCATGTAAACTTGGATGGACAGGTCAATGGTGCGAAAAACAGCTCTCCTTTTTTATTGCAAAGTTTATAGGCAATTCATACATCAAGTACACAGATCCTGATTATGAAAAAAGAGATCTCAGATTTACTAGGGTATCTTTAAATGTTACCACCACTCAAATGGATGGTTTATTTGTTTGGTTAGGAAAGGCTGAGGATGAAGATAATGATTTCCTTGCAGTAGGGCTTGAGAATGGCATGCTGAAAGTTGTAGTTAACCTAGGAGAAAGGATTGGTGTCCCTCTTATTCACCAAAGAAAGCCACTATGCTGCAAAAAATGGCATTTTGTTGCCATTGTGCAAAACAAGACTCTCATTAAAGTATATCTTGATGAGGAACTTGTTCTTTTTGAAGACCTGGATCCACAAAGAAAGTACACTGTTCTAAATTATGGAGGCATTTGCTATTTTGGAGGGTTTGGACTTGATAGGAGAGTAAGTACTGTCACCTCAGGGCTATTTAAGCAAGAATTAATTGGTAAAATGAAGGATGTTGCCCTTTTTCAGGATTCAACAAAAATAAATCTAATTAAGGGACAAGGATATAATGTATATAGTGGAGATAAGGAGTAACTAAGTAATAGATGCCAGAGGCAAGGCTGTATTATTTATTTAAATTTGTTATAGCAGTTCACTCTGGTAGACTCGGGGCAGGCATAACCGTATATAACTCGAGGCAGACATAACTCTGCAGCCTATCGCTCGACTGCTTGATTTTTTAAAAACACTAAACACTATTTCTTTCATGGGCTGTTTCTATGCTCCTTAATTGCCCACATAATTCTTCCAATAATGCAGTTTGACTTATAGGTCATTCATTTACCTAAATCCTGGTTTCACTTTGATTTTTCCTTCACGTTTATGCTTTTCAGACCATTGCTTTATCCCATTTTTAGCTACCTTTCTCTTGATTCTTTCCTAATATTCCCCACCACCATCACCAGAATACCTCCTTGCATTTTAATTGTGAAAGAAACCTCTCAAATGTATATATTTTTGCCTCTTTCCTAAAGTTTCATCTGCACTTCCTTCTCTTCTCTTCTTTCCTATCCTCAGCTATCTATGTATGATTTTAATCTGAGATAAACTAACATCTCTCTCCCTCTGGGACTCTGAACTACAGAACTTTTAATTTCCAAGAAACTAAATATTCAGATTTATAGAGGTTCAAGTCAACCAGGGTTTACTGTCACAAACACACAAGATGGAGGTGGCTGTTCAGAAATGAAGTCAATTTTGCTTATACCTATTGCATTTTTATTATACTTACCATATTACATAATTATCATTAAAATATACCAGCTAATAGTTGAGAATGGGTCATATTATTTAAGTTTAATGCAAGCAATATTAAATATTATTTTGAAAGTAGCAAAGCTTTTTCTATGTTTATTTTTGTGATCTGTGATCAGTAGCTTTCTACTTAGTGAGCAATTAAATCAGATCAAAATTTTAAAATGGTTAATAAATTTCAGATAGATCTTTCTTTAGTTTTAGAACGTATTCCAAAATTAAATGCCAAGTGCAATGGAAATAAAACATGCTCACAATTCTCTTACAAAAGCCACCTTTTTCAGGGAGAGAAACAATACAGTATATAGTACTTGGGGAACTCCATTATCACTGAGAGCAATTAAATCCTTGGAAACAGGAATATTCTTGCTAAAATGCAAGAATACAAGCATCAAACAAAGAAGCTATGGAAACCTAGAAGACTGATGTACAAATTATAGGAGCATTTTGTTAGAAAATACTCATTTTAATCTCTAAATAACATGTCTTACATCTGATAAGGTACATTTCTCCAAAACCACCTCTTAGTTTCCCCAAGTTGTTGCTGTTATTAATTTGTTAGATTATGGCCACCCACTCAAAAAATTCTGGTTGGTAGAATGAACTATAACATTGCCTATAGTTTAGGTTACACATAAAGGATCCATATTTTAATGCTTCTTTCCTCCCACATGTACTGAAATTCCCTGGATCACCCCTGCCCCTTTTTTGTTGCTGTTCCTTATGACTTAAATTACATCTCAGAACACAACTATGTCATCTCTTCACTTTATGTTGTTGAAGTGTTTTGGAAAGCCTTTGATCATTCTTTTAATCCCTACATTTTTAGTAACTATTTCTTCCTATGTTCTTCTCTATTTTAGGGTAAGGTCATCTCTTATTTGAAATCTCTAGTAACAAAAGAGGAGAAAGTTCCTAATCAAATGAATTGTGTTATGCTAGATTTCTATTTGTAAGGACTTTGAGGCATGGAAAATGTTGAACCAATGAGAAATACGATTCTTAATCTGCACACACCTTTGTTCATTCTGCAATTAATTAAACTAATTTTGTATTAATTTATTGTGCCCATACCCTACTCTAAAGAGCAAAATTCTTCCAAAGTGATTACCAAACAATCCATCATCATGGTAATGTGAAATAGCATCTCAGGACAGCCAAAGTATTAAAGAAAATCGTAATAGATTTTTACAGTACCCAATGCCAGATTTCTGATTCGTATCTACAGACGAAGTATTTTGGAGGGAGGCGGGCATACATAGCAAATTTTTCTTATTTTTAAACTTTTCTTTTTCACACTGACATTAACCCCCTACTCACGGTCATATTTATGCGGAAGTGTCAAAGTACACTTAAGATTTCAGTCTTTGAAGCACTGATCTTCTAAACAGTCTGTTCACAAGCTTACCTGCAGGCTCTGATGAGTCTCTGTTCTGAAACATTTTACACTTCTATGCAAACATTCAAATAAACACAAATAAAAATAGCATTTGTTCTATATAAAATTTGATCATTAAAAAGTTAAATTCTATCCTTGCTTTTTCCTTTTTAATCTAATAAAATATTTAAATCATTTGGGAAGGTTTTCATTTCAATATTTTTACTAAATTAAAAAAAAAGTTGCTTACAGGTGAAAAATTAATTGCATCCAATTCTATCAACTGAAGGAAAATTACTTCTTTCTCTTGCAATTTTCTCCCATGTGCTGTTTACATTTGCTTCAGATTAGAGGATCTTGCAGAACAGGTAATGAACCACTTCTGGATATCAGAATGGATGATGCTTTTCCAAATTATTGTCTCCCATATGAAGAAATCAAAGGAGAGTTTTCCACTTGGTCTATGTCATTTCTGCAAAACTTCCATTTCTTTTATTCCAAAGACAACCTCTCTGCTAAATGAAGTTTTTGATTATTGCCAGCTTTCCTACTGTAAAATGGTAATATAATCCAGATGTAGTATATTGCCATGGTCATCATACTAATTCCAAATAGTCCATGACCCTTGCTCTATTAAGACATTTGCTGAGGAAATTCAAGACCTTCGCATTACAGGAAGTCCTCACTTAACAACCACAATTGGAATCAGAATTTAGGTCACTAAGTGATGTGGTCATTAAGTGAATCATGTGACCAGACCTGATTTTATGACCTTTTTTGCAGCGATTGTTAAGAGAATCATGTGGTTTTTCATTGATTTTGCTTGCTGGAAACAGGCTGGGAAGGTCACAAATGGGGATCACATGACCCCAGGACGCTGCAACTGTCATAAGTGTGAGCTGGTTGCCAAGTGCCTGGATTGTGATCACATGACCGTGGGGGCGCTGTGATAGTCATAACTTCAGGCACCGATCATCACTTTTTTACCACCATTGTAACTTCCAATGGTCACTAAATGAATGGTTGTTAAGCGAGGACTGCTTGTATTCTAGTTCCCTTCAGAGTCTCCCCAAAATCATTATTAGTGTCTGCTCAGGAAGTCTCAATAATTATCCAGAAGATCAGGAGTACAGGAAAAAGTTGATACCCAACCTTAAACTACAATTCATACATCCAACAACCAGAGTCAGTTAGTGATTCCATAAATTACAGTTTATGGTACAAATCTTCCTTTGCAGCCGGATGGCACTCGTTACAAAAAATATAGCCTGATATAGAGCTATGAAAGCTACTTTTTTCCACTGATCAACTCATCAATTCACATGAAGGAAACAAATCATTTTTTTTTAAAGCCAATAATGAATACCACTTCACCCTTTATCCTCCTGCTGCTGCTAAAGCTATTTGGGAAGGAGTAAAGTTTTGTGGGCATGTCTATTAATAAGTGTATAGTGTGTGTAAAGAGATATGTGCATGTATCTAGGGAACCAACATAGCAACCTGAAATTGTCATGCCCAAGTTTGTCCATACTACCTCCAGTGGATAGAGTTCCAGAGGCTGATCCTCATTTCCATCTATAGGAGATCATTCTTTCCCTCCACAACATTTCCTATTTAGAGACTGAGATTATTAAACACACATCATAGGAAGCAGTTCAACTAAGGAATGCAGATGGTAAGAGGAAGGAATATTTACTAAACCTGTGCAAATCAGTGTTGCTTCATGGGGCTGGCTCAGGTTCACTTATTTAAGTGATCAGTTTCAAGGCAGTGCCTTGAACTGGAAAGGTAAGGTGTTCTGCTTTGCTGCTTTCAGTTGATGGGGGCCCCTTTGCTTCTGCCAGCCACTTGTTTTCTTCAGAAGTACTGGTGGAAATGTTTTCTGAACATGCATGAACAGAAGACCTTCAGGGGCAGGAAAAATACTTTGCCAAGTTCAATCATTTCAAGCTCAGTTATCACATATCCACTTCATGGGAAGACACTCAAAGAGAGGCTTCAGTCCAAGTCATAACCTTTCCAAGGCATTGCAGATGCCTTTTGGGGGGGGGGGAACCTTGAATTAAAAACACTTCAAGGCAAAATGCTTCCAGCTGCTGGAAGTAAGGTATTCAATTTGCCCTTTGACACACAAATGTACATATTAGCCAAATAGCCAGAGTGATGAGAAAACACGGACACTTCTGAACGAAGTACTACTTCTAAACATTTTTGTCACTGTTAGTGTACATATTTTCAAAGGAAAGGCAGGCCAGTGTAAAGTGCCCCTCCTAAGCACACACACAGACATGCCAAACAGACAACAGTGATATAATATAGTGCTAATTTTACATAAGTATGCCAAAAAAAAAAAAGGCAGGAAAAAAGCTTGAACAGATTGCTGTTCTGCTACAAGCCAAGGAAACAAAAAGAAAGAAAAGGAAGTCAAACTTCTTATCCTTCAGCTGATTTTCTATTAGTGCTAATACAAGTGAGACAAGCTCTGGGACTTGAGGTGTGACTAACTTGATTTAGGTCTATAAATTAAGCAGATTTAACTCCCTTTTTCATTTTACTTTAAGTCAGATGACTGCCTTACACAAACACAAGAACATCCAATTTCATTATCAGTAACATCAAAGTGACCCCCATCTCCTTTCAGGCAACCATCATTTTATTATTATTATTATTTTGAATATTAAGGTTGTTACCTACTTTCCATTACAGACAAATAGTAAGAGGCCTTGAGAGAGTTATATAGCTGAAAATGATCACTAATTAAAGGGTTTCACAAGTGCTGGAGAAAGATTGAAGCTAATTATGGGCTGGGAATGCTGCCTTGTGCCAGAAGATGTTATTCTACTCACTCTCACAGAAAAAGCCTAGGTAATGTCCCCAGGTGCCCCCCTGCACACACAAGAAT